TGGCACTTACGGTGAAAATAATTTGCATGGTTATGGTCTACCTAACATTCGCATTAGCCAAACATTTCTGTAAAAAGAAGAAAAAACTTTAAAAATTCACTTTTTTCATCGCTTCCTGTCACTACCGGAAGTGACGGCAACGTACGATTTTTACATGATGTAGATAAACTGAGGACTGACTATTAGTTCTGAAAGTTTTAGACTTCAGCAATGTACTGTTTCTGAGCAATTTGGTGAACAAAATCTCAATTTGAGGACAGAAAAACACGCGACCGGAAGTGCATTTTCATAAGATGGTTATCGTCACACTAGGTAATTGCAGTCTCAATAAAATATATGAAAACCATTTCAAAGACTTTATATATAAGCAATATTTTTGGGAAAGTTAAAAATCCCAATTACATAGTTTTCTCTTATAACCGGAAGTTGTCGTTTTTTGTTTCCAGTGAGACCAACACATATAGAAACTGTGAAAGAGATTCAATTATATGATGCAAGTTTTATTTCAAAAGATAAAAGATAAAATTTTTGATTTCTTTGATCACTTCCTGTGACGACCGGAAGTGACGGCTGACGCTCTTAACCCAAAAGATTTTGCCTACTCATTAAGTTCTATTACTCATATAAGTTTGGTGTCTTAGTCTCTTACCGTTTTTGAGATCTCACTTTGACAAGTTCTTATTTTGCGGACAGTAAAACACGCGACCGGAAGTGAATTTTACCAAGATATTTGACGTTACTCTAGACATTAGCAGTCTAAATAACATATCTAAAAATCATTTCAAATACTTCATCTATAAGCGATATTTATGGGAAAGTAAAATGCTCAAATTATGTAGTTTTTCGCTTATAACCGGAAGTTGACGTTTCTGTTTCCGGTGGGACCAACATATTTCGAAACCACAAAACAGATGCAATAATGTCATGCAAGACTTAATCAAAAACAGAAAAGTTGAAATTTTCGATTTCTTTGATCACTTCCTGTGACGACCGGAAGTGACGGCTGACGGATTTAAAGATATTCCACAAACCTACTTGTCATGGTCTATAATCCCTCAAAGTTTGGTGTCTTAATCTTTTACCGTTTCTGAGAAAACGTCCGGACATGAACTCTTTTGAAAAAACGGAAATCGGACATATCTGACGACCGGAAGTGAATTTTGCAAAATCCTTCAAAATGTTTTTAGTTTATTTAATTCTACATAATCCCTGAAAGTTTCAAGAAAATCCATTGAGCCATCTCTGAGAAATCGCTTGGACAAAAAATGGGGAAAAAATAATAATAATAATAACTAGATACTTATTGCCTAGGCAATAACAGGTCTTCCGTTTTCTTGACTTCTTTGAGAGAAAAAAAAGCCCACAATCATCTCAATAAGATTACTCTAAATAATAACAAAAGTTATCTCAAGGCTTCTAAAGATATGTAGATACAGATAAAAACAAACGGAATTACTTTTCTGTTTTCTTTATGTACTTCGTCATGAACGAAAGTGCTCCAAACGAATAAAATGTATAAAAATAATTTGCATGGTAATGGACTATCTAACATCTGCATTAGCCAAACATTTCTGCAAAAAAAAAAAAAAAAAAAAAAAAAAAAAAAAAAAAAAAAAAAACTTTAAAAATTCACTTTTTTGCATCGCTTCCTGTCACGACCGGAAGTGCCGACAACGTACGATTTTTACATGATGTAGATAAACTGGTAACTAACTATAAGTTCTGAAAGTTTTTGACTTCAGTCATGTAGTGTTTTTGAGCATTTAGGGGAACAAAATCTCAACTTGAGGACAGAAAAACACGCGACCGGAAGTGCATTTTCCTAAGATGGTTGACTTCACACTAGACAATTGCAGTCTCAATAACATATGTAAAAATCATTTCAAAAACTTTATCAATAAGTGATATTTTTGGGAATGTTAAAAATCCCAATAACATAGTTTCTCTTTTATAATCGGAAAGTGTCGTTTTTTGTTTCCAGTGAGACCAACACATATAGAAACTGTGAATGAGATTCAATTATATGATGCAAGTTTTATTTCAAAAGTGAAAAGTTTAAATTTTCGATTTCTTTGATCACTTCCTGTAACGACCGGAAGTGACGGCTGACGCTATTAACCCAAAGGGTTTTGCCTACTCATTAAGTTCTATTACTCATATAAGTTTGGTGTCTTAATCTCTTACCGTTTCTGAGATCTCACTTTGACAAGTTCTTATTTTGCGGACAGTAAAACACGCGACCGGAAGTGAATTTTACCAAGATATTTGACGTTACTCTAGACATTTGCAGTCTAAATAACATATCTAAAAATCATTTCAAATACTTCATCTATAAGCGATATTTATTGGAAAGTAAAATACTCAAATAATGTAGTTTTTCTCTTATAACCGGAAGTTGACGTTTCTGTTTCCGGTGGGACTAACATATTTCGAAACTGTTAAACAGATGCAATAATGCGATGCAAGATTTAATTAAAATAAGAAAAGTTGAAATTTTTGATTTCTTTGATCTCCTCCTGTGACGACCGGAAGTGACGGCTGACAGATGTAAACATATTCTGCAAACGTACTTGTCATGATCTATAATCCCTAAAAGTTTGAAGTCTTAATCTTTTACCGTTTCTGAGATATCGTCCGGACATGATCTCTTTTGAAAAAACGGAAATTGGACATATCTGACGACCAGAAGTGAATTTGGCAAAATCTTTAAAAATGTCTTTAGTTTATTTTATTTGTCATAATCCCTGAAAGTTTCAAGAAAATCCATCGAGCCATCTCTGAGAAATCGCTTGGACAAAAAACGGGGAAAAAATAATAATAACTAGATACTTATTGCCTAGGCAATAACAGGTCTTCCGTTTTCTTGACTTCTTTGAAAAAAAAAACACAATCTTCTCAATAAGATTACTCTAAATAAATAACAAAAGTTATCTCAAGGCTTCCAAAGATATGTAAATACAGATAAAAACAAAGGGAATTACTTTTTTGTTTTCTTTATATACTTCGTCATGAACGAAAGTGCTCCAAACGAATTAAATGTTCATTCTACACCTAAATTATTCACTACCGATCATCCCTAAAAGCTTCCATGAAAAACTACTCATGTTTGAGACAACTTCTTGTTTTTCGGTTGGAACTTCCAATGAAAATAATTTGCATGGTCATTGTCTATCTAACATCTGCATTAGCCTAGCATTTCTGTAAAACGAAAAAAAACTTAAAAAATTAACTTTTTTGCATCGCTTCCTGTCACGACCGGAAGTGACGGCAACGTACGATTTTTACATGATGTAGATAAACCAGTGACTGACTATCAGTTCTGAAAGTTTTAGACTTCATTTATATACTGTTTTTGAGCAATTAGGTGAACAAAATCTCAATTTGAGGACAGAAAAACACGCGACCGGAAGTGCATTTTCTTAAGATGGTTGACTTCACACTAGATAATTGCAGTCTCAATAACATATGTAAAAATCATTTCAAAAACTTTATCAATAAGTGATATTTTCGGGAAAGTTAAAAATACCGATTAAATAGTTTCCCTCTCATATCCGGAAGTTGTCGTCATTTTTTTCAAGTGAGACCAACACATATAGAAACTGTGAAAGAGATTCAATTATATGATGCAAGTTTTATTTCAAAAGAGAAAAGTTTAAATTTTTGATTTCTTTGATCACTTCCTGCAGCGACCGGAAGTGACGGCTGACGCTATTAACCCAAAGGGTTTTGCCTACTCATTAAGTTCTATTAATTATATAAGTTTGGTGTCTTAATCTCTTATCGTTTCTGAGATCTCACTTTGACAAGTTTTTATTTTGCGGACAGTAAAACACGCGACCGGAAGTAAATTTTACCAAGATATTTGACGTTACTCTAGACATTTGCAGTCTAAATAACATATCTTAAAATCATTTCAAATACTTCATCTATAAGCGATATTTATGGGAAAGTAAAATACTCAAATTATGTAGTTTTTCGCTTATAACCGGAAGTTGACGTTTTTGTTTCCGGTGGGACCAACATATTTCGAAACTGCAAAACAGATGCAATAATGTCATGCAAAATTTAATCAAAAAAAGAAAAGTTGAAATTTTCGATTTCTTTGATCACTTCCTGTGACGACCGGAAGTGACGGCTGACGGATTTAGACATGTTCCACAAACGTACTTGTCATGATCTATAATCCCTGAAAGTTTGAGGTCTTAATCTTTTACCGTTTCTGAGAAAACGTCCGGACATGAACTCTTTTGAAAAAACGGAAATCGGACATATCTGACGACCGGAAGTGAATTTTGCAAAATCCTTCAAAATGTTTTTAGTTTATTTAATTTTACATAATCCCTGAAAGTTTCAAGAAAATCCATTGAGCCATCTCTGAGAAATCGCTTGGACAAAAAATGGGGAAAAAAAAATAATAATAATAATAATAAACAGTACAATCACTATAAGGTCTTCCGACTGAAACGGAAGACCTTAATAATAAACAGTACAATCACTATAAGGTCTTCCGACTGAAACGGAAGACCTTAATAAGAAGAAGAAGAAGAAGAAACAGTAGAATCACTATAAGGTCTTCCGTGAAGACGGAAGACCTTAATAATAATAAGAAACAGTAGAATCACTATAGGTCTTCCGTTTTCAACGGAAGACCTAATAATAATAATAAGAAGAAGAAACAGTAGAATCACTATAAGGTCTTCCGTGAAGACGGAAGACCTTAAATATATCAAAGATTAGGATCAATCTTATAAATCAACTAAAAATGCCAAAATAAATCAATTGCCAAAATGTACAAATTAACACAAAAATCTCTTTAAGAGTGACAAATTCTCGAATAGGACATTAAACAACCTAAACAACTTGCAATAAATCAGCTACTTAGTTGAATTCACTTTTTTGGTTAAAAAATAAGTAGGAAGCCACTTGAGTGCTTGTACGTATTAAGTAAATTTAAAACTTTTAAACTTCATTTACAATTATTTTATCAGGTGAAAGGAAAGAATTTGATAACATGGGAAAAGAGGAACCCCTTGAAGAAAGAAGAGAGGAATTAATGCACGAAATAAAAGAAAAACTGCGGACTATAAAAGAGCCAAGAAACGTTCTTATACTCGGACAGCTTGGTGTTGGTAAATCCTCCTTTGTTAATACCATTACATCAGTTTTGAACGGAAAGTATGAATATATAGCTCAGACGGGCAGTGGATCCAGACATGTGTCAACGACATACCGGAGGTAAGTAATGTAACTCATTAAAACCTTAAACTTTACGTTTCAATATATTATGCATGTAACTACTTTCTTTTTCATAAAACTTTTGATATTCATTTGAAAAAAATACCCCTGGTTGTAATTACAAACAAGATCATTATAACGACTACATAATTTGTGAAATGCTGACTTTGAATAGTGTTTCCGAAATCTTATATACAACTTATTTGTCAGTAGCCTGTCTCGGTTTAGAAATTGATCGCACTCAGAGCATGCTCTTTCGGTTCGAATCAGTTGGGAGAGATACACACCATATACAGGTTATGTTGGAATATTACTGGATATATAAGGAAAATTGGCGATGGAAAAGCTGGTCATCCCAGACATAGTCAGTAAAATATCCAAATATAAAACAGATGTTAAGACTCTGTAGCGTCTTTTATTTTGAGTTTACTGGGATATATCAAGTTGACATGTTAATAAATAAATAAATGTAACTACTGTAATTGATAAATCTGGGCTTCCTTTATTTAGGACTTTATAAAACGATAACTTAAAGGTCGTCATTTTGAACAATACTTACATCACCAGTTATGGTGTGCCCAGTTGGACTATAGTTAAAAGAAGAGGAAGAACAAGACCACTAAGGAAAATTATGTTTTAGATGGTCACTGTAAAGTCTGTTAATAATTGAAATGATTGGATTTAATGGTTGGGAAATATATGTAGGAAATACACCGTGTATAGTTTTAACTTGAAATAAGGTAGAATACAAAACTGGACTTATTTATGGTTAAAAAATGTTTTTAGTGTTCACTGTGTCTAAACTTTTTCAAGCAAATTTAAGCTTCAGGAATCGACGGGTTAATTCGGAGTTATTACTTCCCATAACACATATAGCAGTTTAAAGTGCTCAAGTTTAATTTAAATATTTTGTTTATGGTTTACTCTTATATTACTTAATCGTTAACCAGATTTACGCCTGAGAAATATTGGAAGCAAAAAGACGATAAGAAGCTTTCTCTTCCCACTTTTATCGATGTGAGTGGCTTGGACGAACAGTTGTCCAAATCAAGACAACGGGATGATAACGATGAAAGATACAGAGATTTCCAAACAAACAAAAATAAACAGTCAGTCAACAAGCAAGCAATAGAGTTAATCATTCAGGGCAGACTTCCTGATAATTGTGACCTAATTGCACTTTTTAGAAATCTGAATATGGGGAGAAAAATAGAGAAAGCAAAAGAAATTAAAGGAATGGCTGTTGATATTATCATATTTGTTGTACCCGGAGAAACCATGGAGATTCCCAAGGCTTTGGTTGATGATATCTATGAAGAGGCAAATTTAAACCAAAAAAGTAAAGAATTTTTAATACTTATATGGTATTCAAAAGACTTTGTGCACATGCATTAGTTATCTAAACGTATGACAGTCTCAATCATTTTAAGGTTTGCTTAGGCAAGAATTAAATGAATGATAGCAGAAACAGACATGTACAATTTGACTTTCAATCAAAAAGTAATAGTTAGAAAAGGGATAAGGCATAAAGAGGTCTATACGAGTACCAACATTGATCTTAGTTTTATATGTTTAGAATTCGTCCCGTAAGTTAGCTGTACAACAAACTTTATGCTTCTATAATTAATGCCATGGAGTCTACACATTCTGAATGATATGATTAGTGAACGAATTGTAACACTGGAGAAAATAATTTTTTGTCGCAGAATCAAAATTAAAAACCAATTCGCAAACACTACATCGAGAGCACCAAAAACAAATTTACGCCAATGAATAAATACATAAAATAATTAATAGATTAGTAAACAAAAAATAATAAAATAAAAACCAAAACTAACCATCCTTAAAAGCTCACCTACCCCCATTATACAAATATTGCTGTGCAAAATTTTCATAGTGCATTTTGTTGAGGGATTTTCGTTAATTTTGATTAAACTGGCAAATAACTGTAAATTGCAATCTTAGTTTAATGCATCATAGAGCAATAGTACATTGGCTTGGCTATAATCTTAAATACGCATAACCCTATAGTGAGATTTTTTTTCTTTAGAAAAGTAAATTTCATTCTTAAAATTGAAAAATAAGATGTCTAATTTTGAAATTATATAACATTTCCAGAAATTCCTGTTTTCGGCGTGATGACAAAAAAGGACAAAATTGACGAATCGGTAAATATGCAAGAGAAAACGAAGGATATATGTCAGGCTTTAAGCATTGATGAAGAACACTTTTTAGTATGCAGGTGTTACCAGTCCGAGAAATCCATGGACTTAGAAAATGACATAAGAATTTTAGAATTTTTTTCTAAGGTACGTATGTCTCATGATCGAAATTATGAACTAAATTTTAAATTTACATACTGTAAAATTCCGTTTTTGGCAAGAGCTAATTCAAGTTCAAAATCAAAATTACAGAAAAAGTGTAAAACTTGTAAAGCTGTTTTGTGTACAAATCATTGTCTAATATTGTCATTCACTTTTCGTGAGACAGTCTGCTTGCAAAAACATCGAATGCTTTTATGGGTAAAGATTATTTTAAACAGTAACCAAAATTCGTAAAAATCTTGCCTTGCTTAGAAATACAATATATATCTATGTCTAAAAACTTGCTTTCGATGCCGATGGAATTCTCGCGGCGCTGCTCTACACTACACGGACATTGAGAATGGAAGTGAGATACAGTTATTTGGACATTAGTTTTATTAGAGGATCGTTACCAATACACGTTGTAATGAAATTAATTTTTATTTATAAAGCACATTTTACAACTCTTAAACTAACATATATATATATATATATATATATATATATATATATATATATATATATATATATATATATATATATATATATATATACTCATATCTTGCAAAAACAAGGTGTCACAAAATTTTTTTGATCTACAGTAAAGGGGTATCGGTACAAATTCTTTTGTACCTAAACTGTCAATAAAAATGTTAGGTCATGTGTTGTGTATGACATATTTTTATCAAGGGGATGTCAGAACGCATACAAGCTAGTATATAATATAAATTATGCAATGTAGGCTTCATTTGACAAGAAGTGCCACTTGAGATGAATTTGACATAGTCGTGATAAAACGTTTAAGTCCATGTTATTAATTTTGAAGATGACGTACATTAATCAATCTCATAAGTTCAATAAACAAAACAAATCATGAACAAGTCAAATACACTGACCCCTGGAAACACCTACGATAGGATCAATGGTAGGAGTAAGCATCCCCTGTCGACCGGCCACACCCGCCGTGAGTCATATCTATTGATCATGTAGAAGGGATATTCCGTGGTCAAATTGAGTATAAAAAAAAATGGTTAAACAACTGGTATGAAAAATGTCAAAATACGACCCAATAATTCATATCTGAGTTAGGATCTTACGGTGATATAATGTATAGCGTGCTTTCTTAGATATATTTTCTTTGTAATTGTCGTTACGAAAATGACAAATCATTGTTAAAAAGGACACAGAGACAGTGAATATCCATGTCAACTCGAGCAGCTGACCTCATGCACCTTCGAACAATCAAACGTTTCATGTAATACTAGTATGCTCTTGTTTGTAATTATTGTAATTATTTTCCCTTATGATATATCAACAATGTTTTTTCACTTCTTTTTAGCTTTGCAATCTTCATATTACTGCATATGAAATTCCTAAAATGAAATTTCGTGACCCAGCCGATGCTAATTCCTCTGGTGGATATTTTTCTATGCTTCTGATGGCGGGGATGTTTGTCCTTGTCCTTGCTGCATTCCTTCCCCTGATTCTGGACAGACTGGCTAACAAGAACACAGCTGGACCAGGAAAACTTTGACATTTGTCTATATATTCTGTTAGCTAAGCATTATCCTGCTTCACCAAGAAAACTTTGACTTATGCCTGTATATTCTTGTAACTACCTGTTTTACCAATATACGTAATTGTACATGTATTGTACGATTTCTATCGAGTAAAGAGAAATGATATACCCAATGTCAATAAAGTAGATTTGTAGTATTTTATTTTAAATATATTATATTTTATCCATATTTCATCTATGTTTCTTGTGTAAAGTGGTATCTTATGTAACTGCACAACTTTTTTAATAATAAAATTACATATATATTTAACTTCATTGTCAAAATTATGGTTAGATTGTAATTGCTGACAAGGTATTGTATGTTAATGTAATGATCAATAAATCATTCGAACTAAACAAAAGATGAACAAGCTTTAGAATGCAGATAAATTGGCAACATTTGGAGCAAATACCGCCTGATTCAGAGTATGAATGAAATAAATGTACAATATAAACAGCAATCGATCTAAAAAAAAAAAATACAAACAATATACAAATATGTGAACGGGGAATAAAAAAAAATGTGTCTTCCGACTTAGCCAATATTTTGAAAAATACAGGTAAAACTGTGTTGGCTATGTAGGAATGTGATGGAGAACAAAAGAATTTAATTGCAGATAGGCCATTATAGCCTGTTTTAAGTTTCATTTATATAATCTGCAGGATTTAAAAAAATCTATCTATTGAAATATTAAACATCAATTGGAAAGTATCAAATATGGTACACTTACATATTTATTTTTATTTATCTTTTCTTCATGTAATAAAATTATATCAACCCAAATTGCCAATTTTCTAGACACTTTAGGTCAACAGATCTTCAGTTGGTTAATCATTTTATCTAGTCTGTAGACAAAATTTATATCCACCATGAACAAGATAAAATCCATTCTCAGGAAAATTCAAATTCAATCTGAAATTATCTATTCTAAGTAAATGTTATAGGCCAAAAACTGGCCATTCTGTGAGAATAAAGAACTGTTGAAGGGCCGTTAGGTTAATTCTTTTTTAGCATTTTAGCCTAATTTTAATCCAATGACGTACCTGTAGCTGTCCAAGATTTAAATACTGTCCATTATTTTTCATAATGGACATATCTTTATCTTACTGGACTTTCTTGGGCCTTTGAAGAAGTAGAAAATAAATTATATATTAAGCATTGTGAGAAGATGCTTTATTAACCCTACAAATATCATTGAAAAAATAATGAAAAACAAAAAGTTGAAAAAATCAATTTTAAAATTCACTTCCGTTGGCAACAGGAAGTACCGACGTCGAAAATAAAGTAATGACAAAGCAAGTACATATCACGATAGATCTATAATTGCTGAAAGTTTGACATTGATATCTTTAGCCGTTCTTGAGATTATTCGCAGACGAAATTTCATCTTGAATCAGAAAATGGTCCATAATTCGGAACTGGAAGTAAGTTTTCCAATGTCTTCTAATATTGCCAGTTAATATTCTGCCGTCTTACCACAAATCATCTTAAAGATAAAAACGTACATTCAAGCTCAAATCGGGAGAAAAAAATTCAGACACTCTGGAGATTAAACCCGGGTCGCCAGCATGGAAATTGTAACCATTAGACCATCGGAAACACCGAATATCTAGAATATGGTTAAAGTAATTTCGAAACAAATTATGCATTTAGCATTATGAAAAAACTCTTTAATATCCATTATAGAGATCGATTTTTGAAATTAACTTCCGTGAGCGACCGGAAGTACCGAAGACGAACAAAAAGTTGTGACAAAGATAGATCCATATACGATCTCTATCACGATCTATAATCCCTGAAAGATTGACAGTGAAATCTTCAGCCGTTCTTGAGATTATCCGTGGGCAAAATATCATTTTGAAATCAGAAAATGGTCCGTAACTCGGTACCAGAAGTGATTAATCCAATTTCTCCCGGATAAAATAATTTCAGAGAATATGACGCCATGTTCTTTCTATTTCATTCAAATTGCACAATAGTGCAGGTAAGAATGGTATATTGCTACATTAATAAGGGAAGATGACAATAGAAAAGTTGAAGTCATCACGTTTATCATGGAGTTTAATTGTTAGTGTGACGAGTTAGTTTAACAATGTCTTTCTCTACTAAATACAATTATCTAAATATGAATCAGATGTTCGGACATTGTGCTGTAATTTATTCGAGTTCCATGAGATATATCGAGTCGACGCAGGCATTAAAATCAATATTGTTCAGTGATAAATTCGTCGTCGATATATCTAAACGTTGAATGAAATGCCACAACAAGAGACTTTTTTATTTTCAAGTGGAAGTTTGTTTGTTTTTTTTAATAAATCCTGCTTCATTTGAATACAAAATCAGGCCTGCTAATAACGAGGCACAATAAGCACCCATGGGAATTCCAACAGATTGTTGGACAACCTTTCTCCAAAAACTACAAAATATTGTCAATGAGAAACTCAGGCATCTTTTTTTTATATCAACGTCGTAGTACTTGTGTATAGAATCAGATATTGTAAACACATCAGTGAAACGTAAATTCTGGGGGAAAAGCTTTAAGGATATTTCATCAGGTTTTTTTTCTGTATGAAGTTAGAGCAAGTAAGGTAAATTTTATACAGTGTGAAGGTTCATGAATTCTTATTGTCACTCACTTGCTCGGTATGAGGGAATAGGAGAAAGATGGGGAGGAACGAAGGTGACTTCACAGGTACTACGAACACTAGGAAGCAAAGGCAAATTTTACTAATTTCTCTTACCTTTTCATGCTTATTTTCACGCGGTGTAGTCCTGAAGTTGTCGCTTCTTTATTTTTATTTTATTTCTTTACATGTATGTAAAAAAATAGCTAGCTCTTCTTGCATACAATAAATATCTCATTTGCAAAATGCATCCGATTTTCTTGTTTAAGGACAAACATTAGAAAAAACATCAAAAATGTATATACAATAGTTATTATTTTATCAAATTTGTCATGCTGTGGCATTTTAATTGGTCGTATGAGTTTTCTACAGTCATTGTGAGACCACGTCTTGATGACTTTATTAAAATCTGTTTCCAGAACCGCTTGTATGGGCCACATCTCTGTGGCAATAAATCGGGTAATACAGTGTCAGTTTGCTGTTGTGGACCACATAAGCCAGTAGAACAGCAGTTACATCTGGTTGGAAGTTGCTTATGAAGGTAATCCCCTGACTGGCCCAGAAAGGCTTTGTCCCCCCAAAGTCTTCCAAATCCTTTCTTCACGAACGTAATCCTCCTTTCAGAATAGAAAGTTGTACATAATTTCAAAGTGACCTGAAAAGAATGACATCTAGTGAAGAGAATAATCATTGCAGTAACAGCCATAATGTATATAATACGCTTTAAACAAGGAAATTTATAAGGCCTACGCCAAAAATCAGACGCCAGTATTAACAGGTTTAAAAAGATGAGGTTTGTCCCCCCCCCCCCAAAAAAAAAAAAATTTCGACTACACTGTTTTTTATGAAAATGTTTAATGTAGACAATGATATAGTAAGTGTATTTAAAAAATGCACAATGTTTATCAATGTAAGCTGCATGTTAAGCTTGATAACGTTATAAATAGGTATTTAGTAATTTAATACATGGCAGTGGACACATCTTATTTTTTTCTTCATATGCAACACTGCCAAGTGTGTATCGTTTACGTGGGTATATGTAGGACAATAAAACTATTTCCAAGTGTTGAGAACCGTATTAAAGGTGCTTGGACACAGATTTGAAGTTAATATTTACTCAAATTTTCTGTATAATTTCATGACTTATATGTTGCTATAGCATTTCATACGAAAATTTGATAAAAATCTTATTTTATCTGGAAGTTATTGAAACTTTGAATTTCTGGACGCGTTTGATAGACACATCCTTGCATTTTCAAAAATCTTAACTTTATCCTTATTACTTTAGAAAAGTAGCAAATTTTTTGTTTTAATTAATGAAAATATTAAAACTATGATGCAGAAATTTCAGAGTAGAAATGTAGAAAGCACAATCCTCTCACGAGTATTATCAGTCCGCGCTCAGTGGTGTGTGCAGAGTTTAACAATTGAACTCACCCGGTGAATCGTGAACATTAACAACAACAAAGCTCGTGCCCTGTTTACAAAAACAGTTTCCTTTTCACGGGTGTATTCAATTTGTTAAACTCTGTACACAACTACACAACACTGAGCACGGGCTGATTATACTTAAGTGAGTGGGTTTTGCTTTTGCACCTTTTTACTCTGAATTTTCTGGATTATAGCTGTAATATTTTTCATTAATACACAACAAAATTGCTACTTTTCTTAAGTATTAAGGATAAAGTTAAAAATTGTGAAAGTGCAAGGATGTGTTAATCAAACGCCTCCCGAGTTTTTAATTTTATTTTCGTGTGAAATGCTATTGCAACATATAAGTTGTGATATTATACAGAAAATTTGAGAAAATATAAACGTCAAATCTGTGTCTATGCACCTTTAAGGGGGGCAACTGGGGTTTTCATTGTGCAATACTTCGCACAGCATATAGTAAAATAAAGTGTATTTACTTTTTGAAAGCAACTATCTTTACATAATTCATAAAAATTAACAAATTTAGGAAATCTCAGGTTAAAAAATATAGTTACGTTTTTAAATAACTGATTTTTTAAACGATTTTTCAAATGATGGGTAGATAGACGTTGTGATAGTGTGTTTTTGAGGTTATGAATAACCGAAGTTTTTTTAAGCGGGGTCATTAATGGTGCCATAAAATAAAAAGTATAAAATATATGAAATTTTAAACATAGGAAATTGAGAATCTAACGATCATTTTTATTAGTTTTTATGTAAATCAGTGGTAACTGTCATGTTTTGTTGTACTCCATAAAACAAGAAAATATCATGAATTTTGACATTTTGAGATGGAAACCAGAAGGTAGAATTTTGTGTTTCTTCACAAAATGTACTGTATTACCCATCAAATAATAAAAATTTGAGCAAAAAGTCCATAGTAGCATTTGTATAATTTGCTCCGAAGTGCGAAAAAATGGTATTTTCCAAATAATCCTATAGTAGACGTACCTGTATTTTGAGATGGTTCCTAAAAAATAACCAGACGGTAGATTTTCACTTAACTTGGTATTTATACTGAAGTCAATGCAAGGTACATAT